AGCTCAAGGCTAGCACTCTACCACTTGAGCCACAGCACCACTTCCGGCTTTTTTCTTTTTGCTTATGTGGTGCTGAGGAGTCGAACCCAGGGCCTCAAGCATGCAAGGCATGCACTCTACCACTGAGCCACCTTCCCAGCCCCAGAACAGTCGATTTTTAAAGACAGGACAATGGTGATGTGCTTATACTTTTTAAAGAATCCTTATCCTTTAGAGTTATATCTTATAAATTATATGGCTGAGATGAAAAACAAATTTACTCATAGAATACTGATATTATATGTAAGTGGTCAAACGATAAAATGATTATTATAAAAACTATCTACTAGCCAGTGTATGGCTGAGATGAAAAACAAGTTTACTCATAGAATACTGATATTATATGTAAGTGGTCAGACGATAAATTGATTATTATAAAAACTATCTACTAGCCAGTAGCTCACACCTGTAATCCTTGCTACTCAGGAGGCTGAGATCTGAGGATCGAGGTTCAAAGCCAGCCCGGGCAGGAAAGTCTGTGAAACTCTTACCTCCAATAAACCACCAGAAAAACCAGAAGTGGCGCTGTAGTTCAAGTGGTAGAGCGCTCGCCTTGAACTGAAGAGCTGAGGGACAGCACTCAGGCCCAGAGTTCAAGCCCCATGATAGACAAAAACAAAAACAAAAAACCAAGACTATCTACTTTGATGATAATGTAAATTGTTCCCACTTCTATAAAACTACATATAAATATACATAGTAGGATTGCATTTTTCTCATCCTCTTCATCCTATTCCTTCCCCCTCCCTCAACCCCCCAGTCCTGGGGCATGAACTCAGAGCTGCCCCTTTGCTTTTTTTATTCAAGGCTAGCTCTCTACCACTTGAGATACAGCTCCACTTCCAACTTTTTTGGTGGTTAATAAGAGGTAAGGGTCTCACAAACTTTCTTGCACAGGCTGGCTTCAAACCACAATCCTCAGATCTCAGCCTCCTGAGTAGCTAGGATTATAGGCATGAGCCACTAGTGCCCAACCAAATTGGTTTTTTGGGGGGTTTTTTGTTGGGGGGGGAATCCAGTCGTGGGGCCTGAACTCTGGGCCTGGGCGCTGTCCCTCAGCTCTTCAGCTCAAGGCTAGCGCTCTACCACTTGAGCCACAACACCACTTCCAGCTTTTTTCTTTTTGCTTATGTGGTGCTGAGGAATCGAACCCAGGGCCTCATGCATGCAAGGCAAGCACTCTACCACTGAGCCACCTTCCCAGCCCCAAATTGTTTATTTTGTGAGTGGCTTGATTCTGCATCTAAAGTAGCATAGTAACTAGGCTTTTTACAGTGTATTCCATGAATTCCAGAAGGATATGGAATCAGGGAAGAAATGCCAAAGGTCAGAGGGATGAAGGGATGACCTACCTGGATGTGAGTGCACAGATGACCTTGCTCCACTGCTCTACCACTGCTGGGTGGTGCCTCCAGTTAGCCACCATCTCTTTAGCTGTCTTCCAATAAGGAGGTGTTGGAAAGCACCGAGTACAAGCCAGTAACCACACCTCAAAGAGGACACCAATCAATTTCTCTGCTAGATTCTCAGCAATGCCACCTAACCAATGAGGGAAAAAAATACCTTTGGCATACTTACTTTTAAAGTAGAAGCTTTAATTTACTGATTTGGGAAAATGGGCCAAAAATTAAATAATTACAATATTATGTATTGACTTTCAGAATCTTTAACAAGAAGCAATTCTTGAGGAAAATTACAGATAAAATTACAGCAAGTTAACTTTAGAAATTTCAAGCTGCCTTGATAGTTTTTCTGAAGATCTTTTTCTTCCTGTGAAGAGAACACAAGCCTCCAGAGGATAAAGGACAGAATGAGTGTCTACAATGAAT